GCTTCCGGACTCCCCACAGCAAAATGGGATTGCTGAGCGCCGCATTGGCATGGTCATGGACGTCGCTCGTACGTCCATGATCCATGCGGCTGCTCCCCATTTTCTGTGGCCATTCGCGGTTCAGTACGCTGCGTGTCAGATCAACCTTCAGCCTCGTGTCTCCTTGCCGGAGACCACACCTACTCTGCGGTGGACGGGGAAGGTTGGCGATGCGTCTGTGTTCCGTGTCTGGGGATCTCGAGCTTTTGTCCGCGATACTTCCGCGGACAAGCTGTCCTCTCGTGCCGTTCCCTGCGTCTTCCTTGGCATCCCCCCTGACGCCCCCGGGTGGCAGTTCTACCACCCCACCTCGCGTCGTGTTCTGTCCTCGCAAGACGTCACGTTTGACGAGTCGGTGTCTTACTACCGTCTCTTTCCCTACCGCACTGCCTCCTTCCCCCCCCCGCCACTCTTCCTAGCTCCAGGTACTCCTCCGGTAGACCCCCTCCCCCCTCAGGGTCCTGCCCCCTCAGGTGTGTCCCAGGTAGACCCTGCCGAGCCGGTCGAGGTAGCTGTCGACTCAGGTGCTGCTAGGGGTGCTAGGCCTGCGGGTGCGGGGACTGGGGGTGCTGAGCCTGGGGTTTCTGTGTCTGAGGGTGCGGAGCCTAAGGGTGCTGTGCCTGAGCGGGTGGAGCCTGGGGGTGCTAAGTCTGGGGGTGCTGAGCCTGCGCGTGCTGTGTCTGGAGGTCCTCCGGGTGTCCCGTCGCGGCGGGAGCCCCTCTCGATGTACGGTCGATGCTGTCGAGGTGCTGCTGGTGCTGCTGGTGCTGCTGGTGCTGGAGGTGCTGCTGGAGCTGCTGGAGGTGCTGCTGGTGCTGGGGGTGCTGCTGGAGGTGCTGCTGGTGTTGGAGCTGCTGGGGGTGTTGGAGCAGCTGGTCCTGGAGGTGCTCCTGGAGCTGCTGGAGGTGCTGCTGGTGCTGGGGGTGCTGCTGGAGCTGCTGGAGGTGCTGCTGGTGTTGGAGCTGCTGGGGGTGTTGGAGCAGCTGGTCCTGGAGGTGCTCGTACTGGAGGTGCTGGAGCTGCTAGGGCTGGTGGTGCTGCAGGAGTTAGAGCTGCAGGTGCTGGAGCTGCTGGAGGTACTGGAGCTGGTGGTGCTGCGGGAGTTGTAGCTGGCGACCCTGCTGCGGATACTGGTGCTGTCTCTACTGTTTCTAGAGGCGCTGCGCGGCCGCGGCCGTACTACGTTCCGCTCCTTCAGTAGGTTCTTGGTCTCCCGCCTTCTCCTGGCCCTCCTCCTCATTTACTGAGTCCACCGCCTGTCCAGTCACAGTCGCAGTTCCAACCAGCCTCTCCATTACCTGGTCCTTCTCCTTACTCTGGACCAACTAGAGGTCTTACGGAGCGTCGTGAGCCTGAGTCGCGTCCTGTGTCGTCTGAGTCTCGTCCTGCATCACCTGAGTCTCGTTCTGCGTCGCCTGTTCGCACTGTTCGCGCTGGTCGTCGTGTTTCGCGTCCGCGTCCTCCTCCTGTCCCTTGCACTCACTCTATGACCCTGCGTCCTTCCACTGCTCCACAGCGTGTCCCTCTGCCGTCTCCTCCTACGTCCTCTCTTCCTGACGGTCCGGACCCGGAGTCTGACTCCCTTCGTGCTGCTAGTCCTACTGTCACGCGCTTTCTGGCCATTGCTGTCACTGCCCCTTTGTTTGAGTCCACTGCTGCATCTGCTCTCGTTGCTGAGCTTGTTGACTTTACTGCAGCCTGTCGCCTAGACTACGCCACTAGTCTCGTTGCTGATTCTGCGTCTGCGTCTGTCTGTCCTCCGCCCGTCGGGGGTGAGTGTGCTCTTGGCACGGACGTTCTTGAGGACAGACAGCAGGAGTTTGAGTGCTTTTCCGCTGCTGTACCCCATCTCGTGTCCATGCTGCTTGCCCCTGAGGGAGACTCGGATGCACCAGACATCCCGACCCCGCGCTCTTACGCAGAGGCGATAGAGGGTCCCTACTCCTCTCAGTGGCAGGCAGCCATGGATGCCGAGATGGCATCCTGGAAGTCCACAGGCACCTACGTCGACGAGGTTCCCCCGCCTGGGGCGAACATCGTCAGTGGCATGTGGATCTTCAGGGTGAAGCGGCCGCCGGGTTCTCTGCCTGTCTTCAAGGCGCGTTACGTTGCACGTGGCTTCAGCCAGCGACAGGGAGTTGACTTCTTCCATACCTTCTCCCCTACCCCGAAGATGACCACTCTTCGGGTACTGCTGCACGTCGCCGCTCACCGTGACTACGAGCTCCACTCGCTTGAATTCAGCACAGCCTTCCTGCAGGGCGGCCTGCACGAGGAGATCTGGCTGCGCCGCCCACCTGGCTTCACTGGGTCGTTTCCTCCTGGTACCCAGTGGAGCCTCCGGCGGCCAGTCTACGGTCTCCGCCAGACACCCCGTGAGTGGCACGACACACTGAGGATGACTCTTGCTGCTCTTGGTTTTGCTCCTTCCACTGCTGACCTGTCACTGTTTCTACGCACTGACACCACTCTGCCGCCGTTCTACGTTCTCGTGTACGTAGACGACTTGGTCTTTGCTACTGCTGACAATGAGGCACTCGCCCACGTGAATTCGGAGCTGCAGAAGAGACACACGTGCACAGACCTGGGTGACCTGACAAGCCATCTTAGCTTGCGGATCACCCGGGACAGAGCACAGCGCACCATTACCTTGACTCAGTCACACATGGTGCAGCAGGTCCTTCAGCGCTTCGGCTTCACGTACTCCTCGCCACAGTCCACTCCTCTGCCTACCGGTCACTCGCTCTCAGCTCCACCTTCGGACGAGTCCGTAGAGCCGAGTGGCCCGTATCCAGAGCTTGTGGGCTGCCTCATGTACCTGATGACTTGCACACGACCCGACCTCGCATACCCTCTCAGCCTTCTGGCTCGCTACGTGGCTCCCGGTAGGCACCGAAAGGTGCACTGGGATGCTGTGAAGAGGGTGTTGCGCTACTTGTGCAGTACGTCGGGCATGGGGCTCGTGCTTGGAGGACGGGCTCGAGTTGTCCTCACTGGTCACGCAGACGCTTCCTGGGTTGACGACTTGGCTACGCAGCGGTCTTCACAGGGCTACACCTTCAGTCTTGGCTCCGGTTCTGTTTCTTGGCGGTCTACCCGCTCTTCTTCTGTTCTCAGCTCCAGTTGTGAGGCTGAGATCTACGCTGGGGCCATGGCTGCACAGGAGTTACGCTGGCTCACCTACCTTCTGACCGACTTGGGAGAGGCGCCTCGTTCTCCTCCAGTGCTGTACGTCGACAACAAGGCAATGCTTGCCTTGTGTCAGGAGCACAGACTGGAGCACAGAACGAAGCACATCGCTCTGTGCTACTTCCTTGCTCGAGAGTTGCAGCAGCGTGGCCAGCTTCGTCTTGCTTACGTGGCCTCGCAGGCCAACACTGCTGATGTTTTTACCAAAGCACTTCAACCTTCTGATCATCAGCGTTTCTGTACTGTTCTAGGCCTTGTACCTACTGTGCCTCACGTGCTTACTTCTTGACTCTACTTGTACTGTACTCTATATACTTATATACCTGCATGCTTACACTTGCTAGGTTGTGTTCACTGTATTGTTTGTTCTCCTTTATATAACTCCGCATGTGAACTGGCCTTGTGGCCATTTGCTTGTGCTCAGACTGTGTGGTGACTTTGTGATCCACCTTGAGCTTGCTTTGCCTTTCTTGACTGGTCTTGTGACCTCTTGTTCTCCCCCACTTTGCCTATGGGGGTGTGTCAAACTTATATGCTATAGTCTGTTTAGGCTGTAGTGGGGTAGTTGTTATAGGGTACAACACTTTTAGGTTTGCTACTTATACCCACCTGCTTCCTAATTCATTCATTCGTTCCAGATTCTGACAGGGTGCGCTTATAATTGAGTGAAAAATATAAGCGCATGCGCTTATAAAATAACAAATATACAATTTTAAACTACTAGCACGAAAATGTAGTTCACCTCATTGCGCACCCAATTGAGTCGATTTGAAACAGGGTTGTGGGTGAAAAACCCTCGCTACTTGGCAGGGAAAGATTCCCTGCCAGCACATACACTCAAAATGAGTCACTAGGAGCTTCTGACAGCACTTGCTGACTGGACGCGCAGCCTGTGCAGGGTTTGAATGCGAAGGAAATCTGATTTTCAACACATCGCCTCCTAAAGTGAACTTCGTTACAGTAATTTGACAGTTTTTCAATTTTAAAACTAACATGCGCTTATAATAAATTATGTTTTTTTAAGGGGTTGCGCTTATAATTGAGGATCGGGCATAAGCGCATTGCTCCAGATAGAAGCGCATGCGCTTTTAATAGGCCTCCGCTTCTATCCGGGGTGATACGGTAGCTTGGTTGACTCGGTGTTGCTTCGCTTTGAGTCTGCTTCGTTCTTGTTATAGCGCTCGACACATCAAAAGCGTGATCTATATGTTTCCAACACTCCCCTTCACTTCTGGAGTGTCGTCGCCTTCGCTGCTGGGATAGTAGCAGCAGAGCGAGTAGCAGAGGTAATGGCAGTTGCAGTAGTGTGTGCATGTGTAGGCATTAAATGCGGTACCATAGTATTTTTCTAGGTCATCACCAGAGCATGAAACATTGTTCTTAACAAACTTGGTAACATAAGAATGATAATTGAAACAAGCCAATCGCCATCCAGCATTCTTGAACACAGCCCATTGTGTCAGGTGGTGTCAATGGTAATAAAATCGTACATGTTTGGGATTCCAACCAATCCAAGCTACCGTACCATAGCGATCACAGAAATGTAAAAAATTGCATCTTCATGCCTGCGCACAGGTACTGGTACCTGTATTAACACTATGTACACTAGCAGGCATACGGTAATCAACACCAGCTAAATGAACAAATCAAGATCCCCCAAGCCAACTAAACTACATCTCTGACTGACTGCTTGCTGTGCAAACACCACACGATGCCAGATGTGCCAGATGTGTACCCAGAGGAGCTCAGCTGCTGTGGCTGGAGGTGCGGATTCAGAGGCGCCTCAGAAATCGCTCTGTGCAGATTAGCAGAGAGCCAATGTGCCGGATGTGTACCCAGAGGAGCTCAGCTGCTGTGGCTGGAGCTCCAGCTTTTGAAATGGGCTGCAGGGGAGGTGCCAAGGCGATGTGATGAGATGAGAGCAGGAAGAAAAGGAAAGAGAAGGAGGAGAGCGAGGCTGTCACATCACATCCAATTCTTGCTAAGGACCTCATACCTTGTAAGCCATCTCAACTCAACATCTTCTGTGGAAGCAGCACACAACTCAAGCCAGTAATTCAAGACGAAGGACAATTCAAACCAATTCACCGCAGTTACCCCATTCGAATCACCTGCTGCTGGGATCGTAGTAGTAGCCTGTGACACTCCCGTCCTCCCAATTGAAGCACACAGAGTAAAAGCCTTTTGAGCCAACTCAAAATCCAAACCCTATAATCACCTGCTGCTGGGATCGTAGTAGTAGCCTGTGACACTCCCGTCCTCCCGATTGAAGCACACATAGTAGAAGCCCGCTATGGTGAGCCCACAGTCCGGGCCCACATTTACAAAGAACTTCTCCTTCCACCGCTGCATGGGAAGCAATGAAAGGGGAGGGGTGTGAAAGAGATGGAGCAACCTTCACACATAACTTCTCCTACCCCCGCAGTAGTGAGCACACAGGGAGGTGGAGGGAGACGTGTGGCTGGGGAGAATGGGAGCGGACGTGAGGTTGGGGGAGGGGAAAGGAGGGAATTAACGACATCGAAGAGAAGTGGAGGGCGGAATGAATACAGAGGAGAGACGGAGCACTGCTGTCCGATAGATCATGGCGAGAACGAGTCAGGTGAAGAACTGATGCAAATGACACATCGCGGAAGGTGGGTGATGAGAATTGGTTTCACACATACCATGAAGATGTAGGGGAATGTTGACAGATCTATGGATCGAGCTCCGTCCTTGAGTGCTGCTTCCTGCCACGTAAGAGCAACAGCAGTGCTTTTAGATTACTATGACTGAAGTGACAACACGACAGCATGTTCAGACTCTGTCTTCCATATCCCAAACTGCCTGTACCAATACCCGCATTAACACAAAGGACCATTTGGATGGTTGGCGTCATAGATGTGAGGTGTTCAAACCAGGTGCTGTTTTGCTGATAGTAGTGGTCAACTGAGCTGAGCCAAGCAAAAAGGTTTCAAATCCAACAAATCACAATCACGCTCCCCATCCCCTTCGACCGCCCCCTCCTAAAAAGAACATTAAAACGTTAACGAAGGCAGGGAGGGAGTATCACACCTTGAGCTGCGAAAAGCATGGGAAGCGAGACCAGTGTTTGATGTCAGTTTCACGACTGTCAGAAGGGAACATGATATGAAGAGGAGAAGAAGCAAAAGATATCAGGGACGACAGTTCGATCAACGTCCGATGCTAACAATGCTGCTCACGTCAGCTGCGGGTGTGCTTACTTCCAAAGTTCTGTGGAAGAAAACCAAGTTCCGCTAGGTCGATACTATTGAAGGGAGGGTGGTCAAACAACCACCGTGACATCTCATCAGCATTCTGTCAACATGTCATCATCAGCATGTCCTGAGCATGTCATCAGCGTCTTAGTACCAACTCAACACCAATCGGTAACAGCAGTTAGCAGCACTCACGTGGCGTCCCACTGGCCTGTGAAGAAGGAGTAGTTCTTGCCGTCCACAATCTCTCCGTCCCAAAACGTCACCACCTGCACCCAGGCGAGGGTTCACAGGGTGGTGGGTGGCGGTGACCCTAGGTTTAGTGGCCAAGATGTTGGTGTTTGAGGACACGTTCATAGAAGAAATGGGAATGATTTTAAGCGACATACATCAGTACACCTCAATCTTTTGTCCCCAAAGCTATCACATCCGTCTACCCTCCATCCTTTTTCCACCGCCCCGTCTTCCCTTGCTGCCACACCAGATTTTGACTTATCCCTTTCTGCGTCCAGCTCACCGAGGTGTCAGTAGAAGGAACGTTAAGAGCCTCCATGGATCCGCACAGGTACCCTCTCCGCATGTCGCACTGTTGAATGCGCACAGTCACTCGCCACGCCCCACAAACGCCTGGATGTGTGGTGGAACGGAAGGGAAGGGGACGCGCGGGGCAACGAAGAGTGAGGGATGCTGCGGTGGGACAATGTTGGAGGGAGCTTACACAAAGTTGATTATTTCGAGGCGGGTCATGGTGGCTGGATTGCTGGTAGCCGGAGAAAAAGGAAAGGAAGTATCGAAAAGCGGGTTGCACGACGACGATACATAAATCGCGGGTAGCTGCAGGGTGCTGAAAGTTGAACGAAATACGACGCACCTGTCCTGGTTCTAAGAATGAACAAGTTGAACTAAATGGAGAATCCTCGTCGTCCACACCCTCGTACTGTTCTTCCCAAGCCTCTATATCCTCATCGCCTAACTCTCGCTCTTTTATTGTCGCTGGACACGGGTTCGGGTCGCACACAGGTAGCTGTGCCTGTTCCTCCGAGTCCCGTGGAACGCGCGAGGGACTACCCATTTCCTCGCCAATCGCCACTAGTGCCAGTTTGGCACAAAAGCTCTTGTTGCATTATGGTTTCGATTCACATACGCGCTTTTGTCTGCACTGGTATGTACAATACTTGTAACACATACTACATACACACAACTTATCAAGATACATTGACACACAAACTAAAAAATAGGTAACTGGCTGCTTGGTATTTTCACTGGGCTCGAGTTCTTCCGGTTGAGAATCACAGACGGTCAATTGTAATCCCGTTGGTGGGCCTATGAAGCTTTAACAATTCCTGTGACTCTGCAAGGTACAAAGCCAAGTTTAGGCACTGTTTCAAAGTAAGGCACGCACAGTACCTCTGGCGAGCCTCCAGCTGCCCAACGTAGTTTACTCTTGACATTTCAACAATCCTCTCCAGGATGGCTTCAATAAGGAAGCAGTATAAGCTACCCTTTGTCCTCTAACCTGAAACCTTGAGCACAGCTGCAGCATCAGTCGATGAAAGCCTTTTGCTGCAATATCCCTCCCATGGTTCGGATGTCTCCTGGCTCTCCGCAGCAGCATCTTCCATAGCAACATATAGGGAATGAAGGTACACTGCAAGCTTCCGAGCTGCTTCCCGTCCCTCTGGGGCCTGGTCCTTCATCTGAGTTGCGGCAATCTTTAGAAGCACATCCAGTCCAATAACCTTGACCTGATCCGTATTCTGTAACACATGGAAAACAGGATGTAAGTTGACTTGAACAGGTACGAACGAAACGGAGAGCAGGCATGGAGCACGGGAGCTGTCTCACCAGACGCACTGCCGCTTGGTAGGCGTAAATCATAGCCTTCGACCGGACTCTCGGACTCTTATGAGCGATGCACGGTTGGACTGCTTTAAAAGTGACTTCCGGATTGAGAGTTGAGGTCATTGTGGAAAGTGCGCGGTCGACGGCTTCAACCATGAACTTATTATCTTGCGAAGCTTGGATAAGCAACGGTTGCATCTGCAAAGCAAATGTCGTCAAACATGAAAACCCTGGTGAAAAAAAAAAAGGACGATGACTACTCTGTGAATCACGTACCAAGGATTCAAGCGACCCTTCCATGCACGTTGTGTTGAAACTAAACAGGTCCTCAAAAGTCATCCATAAAGTCTTTCTGAGAACACTTCTGGGATTCTTCAGAGACTTCAACATTGAATCATAATAGGATTCACTGCAGACGCCAGCATATGTCAAATGGGTTAGGCTTCCGCGACGTGCTTCAGGCAAGATAAAAAAAGCTAAAAGAGAGAAAAAGGGATAAGAATTTCCAACCACATACAGTCGTTCGTTAAGGCGTTCGCTGTTAAACTTCGCAACCCTCCGGAGTTCGATAAGCCCCTCGCAAACCACGAACCAGTCTTTCGAATCAAGCTTCGCCCCAAGACCCTGCAAGCGAGAAAAACATCACCAATAAATCTTCGCATTTGCAACTGATCCCAATGCTGGCGACGTGCTAGCTAACTTACGGAAAGGACGCTCGCCAAATCTTCAACAGGCTGAAGTTCCTCAGTTGGAACATACTGAACCTCGACGGTTGCAACAACCTCTTCAGCCATAGCCCTAGATAAATAAAATAATTATCTGCGCGGTGTTAGGGCGAGAAGATACTTGACCTGAGGGATGAAAGTACGGAATTTCACAGTAGCTGATCGTGTGTGATGCAGGTAACTATTGTGGGTTTGTTGCTGTCTGCAAATAGCTTTGTCTTCCTGAATCGCCTACATCCACCGCCCTGCGAGCTTGGCTCAGTTGGATAGATGACCCCCTGACAAACAACAGTTCCGCCCCTCAGGAAGCTCCTCCGCTCCCCTTCTTTCGTCTGGTGGTGATGCGGGACGAATCACCGTTCGATTGGCAGGCGGCTCGACTCTCTGACACACCTACTTCACTGTCAGATTCGATACTACCAATGAGACTTTCTCAATTTGTTAATTACAGATTGCACTAGACACAGTCTTTTCATTACTACCAAGTCAGCTAGATTAACTCACTAAACATAACCAGGTCCCCCAAAATTCCTTAGTGTAGCCTGAATGTTTTCCTTCTCCTTGTTATTCGAACAATTGGTAACAAGGGTGATCATTATTTGTTATTAAAAAGCTTCATATAACGAGATGCCTTTGATTTTCATATTGTAAGGAAAATTGACACTCGCGACACTCACATCGACTACTGCTCCCGCCACTGGTCACGACGCTACCCAACCTGGGCTATTTTTTTTTTTAAGCAACCCTTACTATCAATCGTGCACCTTTGCAAAACCCTAATTATCAGTGTGACTCCTTGGGAAAAATATTTTCCATCAGAACCCTGATGAAGTGTTTCTACCGAAGTTCTTAACAAAAAAGCAGACTCCAGGATTTGAAGATCAGTCTACTGACCACGCCACTTCAGCGTGAGTATTGTGATAACATAATTTTACTCTACAAATTTCTAATCAGGGAAGTGCGGGGACGAATTGGAATGTGGTATTCGCTTCAGGGTAAAACTTGCTAAGAAGAACGGTAACCCTGGGGAGACAGTGTGCCTTATACGTAAACCGTGACATATCAGGAAAATCTAAGCTCCGTAAAAAAATACCCTAAGGCATCAGTGTTACTACCAAAAACCACCCTGATTATCAGTGTATCAGGGTGATTTACATTGATAAAATTGGCCCTGGACCCAACCTCACGGTTCAGTTGGTAACCCGCGCTCCGGACCTCCACCTCGACAATTCCCAACCTCGGCGCTAGGCCCGTCGCGCACCCCATTTTCAGGCATTACCTGTAAAACTAACGAACAAGAATGAATGAACTATGAAAGAGTTGGATCCAAGTACTAACCCTAATTGGGTTGTACCCCTTATGGGCTACCCCACTATAGCCTACACAAATGTAAGCACTAAAACATTCTGACACACCTCCATAGGCAAAGTGCGGAAGAACAAGTGGTCACAAGACCAGTCAAGAAAAGCAAAGCAAGCTCATGGTCGATCACAAAGTCACCACACAGTCCGAGCACAAGCAAAGGGCCACAAGGCCAGTTCACATGCAGGGTTATGTAAAAGAGAACAAACAATACAGTGATCATACCTTAGCAAGTGTAAGCATCCATGTATTTTTTATATACATATATATATATATATATATAGATCACAGTACAAGCAAATTCAAGCAGTGAACAACTGAGGCAAAGTAGGCACAAGGCCTAACACAGTAGAGAAGCGCTGATGATCACCAGACAGAAGTGCCTTGGTGAATATATCAGCAGTGCTAACCCTAGTGGCCACGTACGCAAGACGAAGTTGGCCACGCTGCTGCAACTCTCGAGCAAGGAAGTATCGCAGAGCGATGTGCTTCGTTTTGTGCTCCAGTATGTGCTCCTAACACAAGGCAATCATGGCCTTGTTGTCTACGTACAGAACTGGAGGCGAACGAGGCTGCTCTCCCAAGCCAGTCAAGAGGTAGGTGAGCCAGCGTAGCTCCTGTGCAGCCATGGCACCGGCGTCGATCTAAGCCTCACAACTGGAGCTGAGAACCATAGACGAGCGGGTAGACCGCCAGGAAACAGAGCCGGAACCGAGGCTGAAGGTGTAACCCTGTGACGACCGCTGCGTAGCTGAGTCGTCAACCCAAGAAGCGTCTGCGTGACCGGTGAGGACAACTGGACCCCGTCCTCCAAGCACGAGCCCCATGTCCGACGTACTGCACAAGTAATGCAGTACCCTCTTCGCAGCATCCCAGTGCACCTTTCGGTGCATACCGGAAGCCACGTAGCGAGTCCGGAGGCTGAGAGGGTACGCGAGTTCAGGTCGTGTGCACGTCATCAGGTACATGAGGCAACCCACAAGCTCTGGGTACGGACCACTCGGCTCTACGGACTCGTCCGAAGGTGGAGCTGAGAGGGAGTGGCCGGTAGACAGAGGAGTTGGCTGTGGCGAGGAGAACAGGAAGCCGAAGCGCTGAAGGACCTGGTGCACCATGTGTGACTGAGTCAGTGTGATGGTGCGCCGTGCTCTGTCCCAGGGAATCTGCAGGCCAAGATAGCTGCGCATTTCACCCAGGTCAGTGCAGGTGTGTCTCTTCTACAGCTCGGAATTCACAAGGGTCAGTGCCTCAGTGTCAGCAGTGGCAAAGACGAGGGCGTCGACGTACACGATGACGTAGAACAGCGGCAGCGACGTGTCGGTGCGTGAAAACAACGACGGGTCAGAAGTAGGAGTAAACCCCAGAGCCGCAAGTGTAGTCCTCAGTGTGTCGTGCCACTCGCAAGGCGCCTGGCGGAGACCGTAGACTGGCCGCCGGAGGCTCCACTGGGTACCTGCAGGAAACGACCCAGTGAAGCCAGGTGGGCGGCGCAGCCAGATCTCCTCGTGCAGGTTGCCCTACAAGAAAGCTCTGTTGAAGTCCAGAGAGTGCAACTCGTAGTCATGCTGAGCAGCAACGTGCAGCAACACCCGAAGAGTAGTCATCTTCGGGGTGGGGGAGAAGGTCTGGAAGTAGTCGACCCCCTGTCGCTGACTGAAGCCTTGTGCAACGTAACGCGCCTTGAAGGCAGGCGGAGAACCCGGCGGCCGCTTCACCTTGAAAATCCACATGCCATCAACTATGTTCGCCCGAGACGGGGGAAATGCGTCGACGTAGCTGCCTGTGGACTTCCAGGATGCCATCTCGGCATCAATGGCTGCCTGCCACTGAGAGGAGTAGGGACCCGTAATCGCCTTTGCGTAAGAGCGCGGGGTCGGGATGTCTGGTGCATCCGGGTCTCCCTCACGGGTAAGCAGCATGGAAGCAAAACGAGGTACAGCAGCTGCAAGACCCTCAAATTCCTCCTGCCTATCCTCAAGGACATCCGTGCCAAGAGCACACTTACCCCCAACGGACGGAGGACTGGCAGACACCCAGACTCAGCAACAAGAGCCGTGGCGTAGTCTAGACGACATGAAGCAGCAAAGTCAACCAGCTCAGCAACGAGGGCAGACGCAGCAGCGGACTCAAAAGAAGGGTCAGTGACAATAGTGGGGAGGAGACAAGAGGCAGTAGGACTGGCAGCACGAGCGCGTTCAGACTCAGGGTCAGGGATGGCAGGAAGAGAGGACTCAAGAGGAGCAGGCAGAGGAACACGCAGTGGAACAGAGGAAGGACGAAGTGCCATAGCATGTGTGCCGGGGACAGGAGAAGGACGCGGATGAGGAACGCGACGAGCAGTGCGAACAGGGGAGGCAGGACGAGACGCAGGCTCACGACGCTCTGTAAGGCCACCGGTCTGCTCAAAGTAAGGAGAAGGAGCAGGCAGTGGGGAGGCTGGCTGTAACTGCGGCTGCGACTGGTCAGGTCGTGGACAGAGTAGGGGAGGAGTCAGGCCAGTAGAAGACGGGACACCAAGAACTTGCTGAAGCAAGGGAACGAAGTACGGTCGCGGCCGCGCAGTGCCTCGAGCAGCACCAGTACCACCAGCACCCCCAGCTCCAGCACCTCTAGCAACAGGGTCAACAGCTCCAGCTCCTCCAGCTCCAGCGCCTCTCACGCCAGTGCCTCCAGCTCCAGCGCCACCAGCTCCAGCGCCACCAGCTCCTGTTCCTCCAGCTCCAGCGCCACCAGCGCCAGTGCCTCCAGCTCCAGCGCCTCCAGACTCAGTAGCTCCAGGCTCCGTAGGGTCTCTAGCTCCAGCGCACCCAACACCACCAGTCCTGGCAGCTCCAGTACCCCTGGTACGAGCACCTCCATGACCAGTAGCCGCAGAACCTCCAGTACCACCAGCTCCAGCAGTAACTCCAGAACCTCCAGCTCCAGTGTCTCGAGCGGCAGGGTCTTCAGCTCCGGCAGCTCCACTCCGAAGGCAGGTGCGCTGAGCAAACCACTCGCGCAGCTGCTGCGGGGAGAGAGGCTCCGGCCGGGGAGACGGTCGTGGTGAAGCACCCGCAGGATCTCCAACAGAAGCAGTACCCCGAGGCTCAGCACCCCCAGACTCCGCACCCTCAGACTCAGCCCCCACAGGCTCAACACCCTCAGGCTTAGTACCCCCAGGCTCCACACCCGCAGTCTCAGCAACCCCAGGCTCCGCACCCCCAGGCTCAGCACCCCCAGACCCGGCACCCTCAGACTCAGCGCCCCCAGGCTCCGCACCCCCAGACGCAGCACCTCGAGCAGCACCTGAGTCGCCAGCTACCTCAACAGGCACAGTACCAGGGAGATGGTCTACCTGAGACACACCTGAGGGGGCAGGACCCTGGGGGGGGAGGGGGTCTACCGGAGGGGGACCTGGAGCAAGGAAGCGGCGGGGGTGGCGGAGGGGCAGAGCGGTAGGGGAAGAGACGGTAAAAGGGAACCGACTCGTCAAACGTGACGTCCTGAGAGGGGAAGACACGGCGCGAGGTGGGGTGGTAAAACTGCCAGCCAGGCGTG